GCATCCCTCATCCTTAAATGGCTCGCCATTGCTTCTCTCTTTATCCAGAGGGAAAGACTAGGCAAGCTCAGCAAGGCCTCTAATGCCGTCGTTGGAGTAGTCCTCATTGCGCCTGTGATACCGAGACATGCCAGTCTCTGTATCTTGCTCAATTTTTGAGCGATGGTGGTTTTGCTCACACTGCGCCACCAGACCACTGATCCATAATGTATCCGCGGTCTGATGACAGCAGTATAAATCCAGTGAAGGACTTTGGGATTTACTCCCCAGCGTTTTCCCACCACCCGGCGCAGCTGCCAGAAAGTTGCAATCGATTTGTCAACAACTCTGTCGACGTGTGATTTCCAACTTAACTTCCTATCTAGGGTAACACCTAGGTACTTGACCTCTTCAGTAATCTCAAGAGGTCTTCCATACATGGCTGGTGCCCTGAAGTCCTGTATCTTCCTTCGTTTGGTAAAAAGAATCATGTCAGTTTTTGTTGGGTTAACCGACAGACCGTTTTCTTTGCACCAATTTTCTATTATTCTGCATGCTGTCTGCATTCTGTCGCAGACTACACCTAGAATGCCTCCTCTGATTAGGACTGTACCATCATCTGCATATGCTTGTGCATACAGCCCTTCGGCCGTCAGTCTCTCCAGAAGTCCATCCATTATTAAACACCATAGGTGGGGTGATAGGCAGCCGCCTTGTGGGCAGCCGCCCCTCACACCGATGTCCAAATGGCAGTCTCCCAGAGATGCACTGACCTGCCTCTCCTCCAGTGAAGATTTAACCCAACTAACCAGGACTGGGGGAGTGCCTCTGGCTTGTAGCGCTTCACAGATTGTAGATGTCCTCGCCTTATCAAAAGCCCCCTCTACATCAAAGAAAACAGCTAGTGCCATTTCCTTGTAGTGCAGTGCCTTTTCGACTCTATGCACTATAGAATGAAGAGCCGTTTCGGTCGACCTTCCATTTCTATAGGCATGTTGATTCTTATGGAATGGGTACCTTTTCAGCACCCCTTCTTGCAGGTACCGGTCCACAATCCTTTCTAATGTTTTAAAAAGAAAGGATGTTAGGCTTATTGGCCTGAAGGACTTTGCAGCCGAGTAGTCTTTTTTCCCTGCTTTGGGTATAAAGACCACTTTAGCTGCCCTCCAGGCTCTTGGGACATATCCCAGTGCCAGACTGGCTCGGAATATTCGTTCTATTCTTGGGAGAAGAATCTCCAAGCCTCTCTGTAGCAATGCTGGGAATATTCCATCCGGTCCTGCTGCCTTGTATGGATCGAACGCATTTACTGCCCATTCCACCGATCCCTCCTTCACGACGTCTTTGGCAAGGCCTAAGTCCCAGTTAAGGGTCTCTGGCCCCTCCGTTGTTGACGTGTGGGAAGGAGTTTCGCCGGGGAAGTGCGTTTCCAGGAGATGTCTTAGGGACTCTTCACTGGTGTTCGTCCACGATCCATCCAACCTTCTTAGGATTCCTACATTCCTTTTTGAGTCACAGCTAAGGATCTTCATCAGCCTGGTTGACTCCTGAAGTGACTCTACAGTTCCACAGTATGTCTTCCAGCTGATATCCTTGCTGCGCCTTAACTCTTTTTTGTAAGACTTTCTGGCCTCCCTGTACGTATCCCACGTGGATTGCAGCCCATCCTTGATAGCCCGGTTGAATGCGCGCCTTGCCTTCTTTCGAAGGTCGTCAAGCACGTCACTCCACCACGGGACCTTTCGGCCCTTAGCCACCTTGGCCGGGCAAGCAATCTCGTAGGCTGTGGCAATCGTACTATTTAGGTGATTAACTTCCTTCTCTAACTGTTCTTTGGTGGTAATGTCCACAGGAGGTTCCCAAGTTTGACTTTTTAGATTGGTGAGATATTTCTCCCAATCTGTAGCCCTTGGATTCCTCCTTGGGTTAGGAGTGACCTTGTCGACATTTAACTCAAATCTGATCATCCTGTGATCAGACATCGTTATATCGTTGGTCACTCTCCAGTTAGAAACATCTTCATATACTGACCTTGATGCCAACGTTATGTCTATTACTTCCTTCCGGTTGCAAATAACAAACGTCGGTTCTTTGCCTCTGTTTATTACCTCCAAGTCTGTTGATGCCAAATACCCTAGCAGAGATTCTCCCCTACTATTGGTGTTGGTACTGCCCCACACGTAGTGGTGGGCGTTGGAATCACATCCTAGCACGAGGGGTATGCACTTGTCACTCGCGAACTTGATTAAACGAGTTAGCTCCGGAGTAGGGCACGGTCCCTCGTACGGTAAATAGACGCTCCCTAATATAATCCTATTTCTAATGCCTCTTACCTTATATTCCAGCAGAACCGCCGTGACATCCCTGGCCCCCAATTGTGGAAGTGGTAGCACATTGAGTTCCTTGGACGTCAGTATGCATGTTCTGCTGCTCTCCTCCTCAGTGCCGACCATGATGTTTAGGCCAGTGGCACCCATTCCTCTAACCCCTTTCCTGTAAACATACGGTTCCTGTACCAGGACAATCTCGCCCTCCCTCCCTGCCAAGACGCTTGCCAGTTCCCCAGCAGCGTCCTTGCAGTGATGTAGGTTGATTTGGCTTACCCGTATGGTGTCCATGACGGAGTGTATCATGGTACGGCCTCAGCACCTAGTTTTCTTCAGTCTGCTTCGAGGTTCCAGCACCAGACGAGCCCTGGCGCACCACGCTACTCCAAGCCGAGACCCTCTTTACAGAGAGGGTCACCAACTCGAAGTAGAGGGCCCACCCAGACTCCTCCAGGCGCTTCACAACCTCTTGGCTAACCAAGAAGACTAGATGCCATGCTCCTGGTCCCCCTGTGGTCTCCAAATGTTTCCAATTCCCCACGTTAAGGGAGTGGTTCTGGAGATCAAGCATCCTTGTGACCTCTGCCAGGTCCACCTTTTCCTGCCTAAGCCAGAAACCAATCTTCACTGGCCATGGAGCTTCGGCGGCCTTCACCGAAGTGAAAACCACCCCCTCAACAGTCAGAGAAGACCAGCTCTCCAGCAGCCAACGCATCGAGGTGTCGTCCCTAGCCGATACCAAGTACCAGCCCGGGTCGACAAGGCCCGACTTGATGAATTTGAGTTCCAAGCGGGAGGATCCCTTAGTGGAATCCTCCATAGCTCGCCTCATTTCACTGATCAGGCTTGCCCTGATGCGTTCGCTTTCATTTGGCAGAACAGTACCTCCAATCCTGTTCGACAAGATGACCACTTGAAGACTTTTGTCGATTGTTGGTCGACTAGTAGCCTCCTGTCGAGCTTCTACCTTTTCTCTACTTTTCGGTCCCCTCTCCGACGCCTCGGCAATGTCTCTCTTTAAGGGGGAGACATACCGCCTAGCATCAGATAAGGGCCTTGCCCTCTTTTTATTATATTCCGGAGGTGTCCCCTTATCCGCCCTCTGCCTTTTGCTGGAAGCTGGACCAGGGGCTCTTGTTTGAGCCCCCGTTTCCTGCCTCCTTGCATTAGCCGGCGCCGATGGTAATGGGGGGACGTTTTTACCCTTTCTCAGGTATTCCCTCCTTTTCGGACCTCTTGGAAGCTTGCCAGGTTCCCCAATTCGATTTGGCTTTACCCTTACCTGGCTTGAGCAGCTTGGTTGGGGGTCAGCCATCTCGGATCCGGTTGCCTGTTGAGGAACGTCAGATACTACTAGAGAACGATGGTCCTCCTGTAGCCTCTTCAGTTCCTTTTTAGCCTCCTTTTCCTTAATTCTCTTTCTCTTATTTTTCTCTCTAGTCCTCTCCTTCCTCCTTTGGGCTTTGATCTCCAGAGCAGTGGCTTTGGCCGGCTCTGGTGATCCAGCAGGAGAGTTGAGAAGATCTACCTCTTCTACTGTCAGTGGTGACGACTCGCTTGTCACCACTGTGGAGCTGAGGGGCTCCGGTGTGCGTTCTTTTTGCACGTTACTTACTTCTGTTTTTTTGTCTCCTTCCATAGTTGGTTTTTGTTTTGTTTTCCTGACCAACACACACGCGCACACACTTATTTGGGCAGATATCTTTGGACTTTGGGCCTCCCAAAACTTCTCCTAGGGCCAACATAACACAACGTGGATCCCGGTGAGGAAGGTTGTCGGCCGCTTTCAAAAAGTGAAGCCCCCCGGAACATGCAGCAGGCCCTCACCCAGGCGCTACCTGGAACTACTACATGTAACGAGATTATACACCGATTGATAGGGCAGCCCCCTGGTACTAGCTAGGTAAGGGTGGGCCCCTGTACTACTCGGCGGCACGGGTGTGCGGTCCCGCTTTATTTCACCGCTACCGAACCAACTCGACCTCGATACGGGGTCGCGTAGCGTTAGCCCCAGGAGAGAGGGGAAGCCTTCCGTCCATGCCAGGTATTGGTGTAGAGCGTGTGTGAGCGCATGCGTCAATCAGGTTGGCTACCTGCAGGAACAAGTTCCTGGGCGATGGGGTCGCCATATCCCGACGCCAGGGGTTACCTTTTAGTCGCCTTTTACGACAAGCAGGTATTACTGTGGGCCAATTCTACTTTAGTGTCCCCGGTGCCACAGGGGGTGCTCAACCAATAAATATATTGGAGACTGAATCAGTGTTTGAATTTACTGCGGAAATAATATCTATACTCGCGTACAGCGTTGCCAAGTTGTTTTTATCTGACACTAGTGATGTATACTTTTTACAAATTGTTGAACTTTAAACGGTTATTTATAAACAATTGGACGGTCAAAAATTTTTAATTATTTTTTTTTTAAACTCAGCAAAAATACATTAAAAGACTGTTAGTTTTTTGAAAGCTTCTGACAGTTAGTTTTTTTTTATAACTAAGAAACTGGTACAGAACTACAGAAAGCCTATACAATCCATGTTAATTATCCAATTTTTAATTGAATTTATCTCGGGTTATAGACGGTCAATCGACTTCAAATTTTACAAAAAATTTAAAATTTTCTGATGGTATGCTTACAGCACGACAACTACCTTAATTGGTTTAATTTTATCTTAATCTTAATACCTTTTTACTTACCAAATTAACAAGATAAACATTGGTAACAGTCCTCATTCTCTTATTCTTGAACAAAGTCAACAACACGGCGCAATTTCCGACAACCGACAAAACAAATATTATTACATATAAAGGTATAATCAGTTCGCTCTCGAAAACGTTTCGATGACTTGTCGATTCTTTCACCACTTCCGTCACATTACTGACCACGGTTACGTTGTTCGATCTGTTGAATAAGTTGATTGAAGATTCGATCAGCTCGCCCACAATTTTGATGTTAACGTCGATTGGACCTTCATTTCCTGTATCCGGTTTATGCTTCGCTTGTTCGAGATCCAAGATTTCCTCCACTTCGTAAGACATTGTGGCCAGGGATTTTTTATTTATTTTGTTGCGTATGGTTTGAGAATCAGCAAAGTCATCTGAAAAAAGAAATAGGTGCAAATTAGTCAAGAAAACTTTTTAAACAATATTTGTTGAAGTTATTAATAATAACTTATTATTATAAAAAGTTAATTGAAACAGAAATTAGAGAATAGGTTAAAGGTTATTAAAATTCCGCGTAATACTTTTTTCATTATATTTTTGGATCAATGTAGGAAAATGATCGTAAAAATAAACATTCTCTTAGACATATATACAGGGTGCACCAGTTATCCTTTTATGGGTGGATATTTTTATATTTTTTCATAATATCAGGATAAAAAACATTGAAAATAAAAATTTAAAGTATCATCATTATTATTATCATCATTTGGGCAGGGTTAAACGACATACAAAATATTTTGTTTTAAATTGTTTTTAAACTGTAAGCATATAATTTAGTACAAAAAGACAAATTAAAGACAACTTATGAAACTCAAATATTGTTCTACAATATTATTTAAGGGGATGGTTTTACAAAAAAAAAGTTAATCTACTTCTACATTGACTAGCTGTGACTTTATGGCGATTTAATCATGGGCTAAAGTTTGCTTTTTATAAGTTAGGGAAAAGTAAGGTAAAATCCGTTTAAAGTTGACAAATTTTTAACAAATAAAATTGGCTTTAATTTTTTCTTTGTGTTCGTCGTATATAAAGTATAGTATGCAACTCGTTTTATAAACTTCTCTAGACACTCATTTTTATTAATCACCCGCTCGGAAGCTTTACTCGTTCCTAGTAAAACTCGTAACTAAAATGGCGTTTATAAAACTTGATACATTATGTATCCTAGACCTTGGGCCGTATGCAGAAATGTTGATTTATTTATATCAACTGATTAAGCACATCAGTGGATATAGGTATTTGCACGACATGGCAACGTAGTAATTTTCTTTAAAAAGTGTTGTTTTATAAAATAAATTGGGTAATTATCTTTCAAGTTTATATTTTCTCTAATAAAGTCGATTTCTATACACTGACATTTTAAATTAGACATAAAACAATTAAAATTTCATCAAGATTTATTTGACATTTGTGACATTTGCTTTTAACCATAGAAAATAATTTTGCTCAAATAAGTCATGGTTTACTAGATTTGTTTTTCTGGCCAATAAAATCATATAAAATGTAAATTGGTTGATACAATTTATATCAGTCGTTAACGACTGATTTGCTCCAGGGGGTGAAACTCATATAGGAATATACGCAACAAGCGCCTCCCGAGCAACGTTGCCATATTTTCTTTTTGTGGCTTAAGTCATCTTTTTTAATAATTATTTTAATCGACAGTTTTGACTTTTGACAATAATAGAAAGAATATTTATAACGGTAAAGATCTATTTCTAAACTTTTAAGTATTTTTTGAGTTTTTTTCATCTGTATTGCTTTCCCTTGAAGTTACAGTAAGTATATACAATAAATACAGTTGCTTTTATAATGTTTTTTTGGAAATTGACAATGTCAATTTGACATACCTATTATAGTTATTTACGTGTCAAGCTTTGTAAATGAATCTTTACAGGCGAGCTGAAAGTTTGTGGGGTGAGCGACGCAGGAGCGAACACCATAATCCAGTGAGTCTAGTAAACATTAATTGCAAAGCGTGACACGTACAAACTTTTATTTTCACCTTTAGATAACGATTTTCAAATTTAAAATATTAATTAATATGTCAAAGGTGACATTTCATTACATAAATTGCTTTTCTACAAGCCTGTAAAACTTTACAGGTCCTTTATACAAGCCCGTAAAATATTACAGGTCTGTTTCCATAATGTATCATTTACATGGATACAAAAACAACAAAATTAACCTATAAAATGTCATTTACTATGGAAATAAAATAATTAATTTGTATGTAATTTATTACGATTAGTTTTAATTGCAAAAACCAATACTACTTAATAATATTGGGACATTTGCTTTGAAAGTAATTTCCAGCGTACTGATGTCCCTGCTGGAAGAAGCTATTGTAATTTTTACTTTTATTATAAAATGTAATGAATATTAATATTAATGGACATCAAAATTTTTTTAATACATGTATGTTTTTTTATGGCCAAAACCGATGCAGGAGGGAAGTTTTATACCTTCTTTCACTTCTGAACCCATTCAAAATACAGATGCACTGTTTGTATATTCTTTAATTTATTTTATTGTTAAAATTAGTGTATTATAACCTTATACTTTTTAAAATAAATAAATCTCTGCAACTATTTTATTTTATTGGTCAAATTTAAATAAATTAATATTATAATTATTAATATATTCAAAATAGATAAAGCCGGCCCTGTAGTATAAACGTTAATAAAATATTTGGAGTACGGCCCTAATTGGCAGGCGTTTATGATGTTTGCTGATGTGTTGCTTAAGTTTAACACAGTGGTCGCCCTTCTTATATTCTTTTTCTATGATTTGCTTTTCAAATAGAAACAGTAGGGGACTTTTTTTCTGAGGAAATTTACACTCTATTTATTTTTCATCTCAGAAATATAGATACCATTAAACATAAAAGAAAATTAAATTCAGGGACAAAAACATAAGTATTATAAATTGAATATACATATTATAATATTATTAACAGTTTTTGCCAGTAATACAAGTTTAAAAGGCATTTTATAAGAAAATAAAAAATACACTATGTAAGTAAAAACAATTGTATTTGCTCGAAAGCAAAATCAGGCTAAGTGTATGAAACTATTTTCAAATTATTTTTATTATTTGTAATATTTATTTGACAAATAACCGTAACCGTAAAATTTACTACAAAAATATGTCTTCTATATTCTTGCATGTCTATTGATTAGTGAGTTATAAATATTTTCTTATGTCATTCAAATGTCGATTAGGCAGTGTTAAAGGACATAAAAAAAATTGTTTTTAGATTGTTAAAAAATAATTTAGATAATACCCAAATAAAAAAAAACAGAATCGCAAAGTCAAAAAATCTTTAAATTTATTAAAAACACTATTTAGAGGAATTCTGTATTGGTTAATAGATATTTTGGCTTTGGGGTACAAAACTAGTTTTTTAATTTTTACTTTAAAAAAATATTGGCGACCTGAAGCATAAACACAGTCGGCCAACAGATTTTTAAAAGTTTTTAGGCAACAATCTTCTATCGTCTCCTAGCAATTTTTAAAGCTCCTATGTTTAACCTAGGTGAGAGCTTTTGGTTTTTGCTGCCGCTTTTTTGTTCTCATTCGATTACATTATCACCTAGAAATTTTTTATTTTCAAAATTCTGCATCTCCATTGCTTTTTTATCTGTAGCGTGAGTTATGGGACCCTGTATATATATTTTTTCATTAGTCTTGTTTATTGTATTATAAATTAATAAAAATAAACCTAAAGTTAGAGCAATCATTTTTAAGGTAAGAGTTATTTAATAGTATATTATGTATCAAGTTTGATAAACGCCATTTTATACACGAATTTAATTTAGGCACGAGCGAGCTTGCGAGCGAGTGCTTAAGTTAATGAGTGTATAGAAAAGTTTATAAACGAGGTGCATACTATATTTTTTCTACGAAAAATACTTATTATTATCTTAAAATGATTTAAATCAAAAATTTGTATAGAGCGCCATCTATGAAACAACAGGGGAAACTGTCAAATGTCACATTTTTACATTTTATAAACACAATTATAAAGGTTATAAATCGAAATGTATCTTGAAAATGGACAGTTTTTCACAGTGAAAGTAAAGGAAATGTTTTATGAGGACTTTACAGTAGAGTCCGTGCCCGAATTTAAGTTATAGTTTACTGCCGGCGAAATTAAAAGGTCAGTTCAATGTTCATATAAACTTTTCAAATATTGGCGTTGAGAAACTATTTAATATTTTTGTATTTTTGTATTGAGATAATAAAATAATTTTCACATTTAGTATTAATACAAGAAAGGCACTTTATTTTAACGATTGTATGACATTTGACAACTGTCAACTAACTTAAAACTAACTTCAGCCCGTGACTAAAGCACCGAAAAGCCACAACTTGTCAATGTGTATTTAAAAGGTCACTTAGTGTCATGGAAACATGTACGATAAAGGGCGTTTTAAAGGTGGGAGTAGAAAAAAAATTAGTTTTACAATGAAGACAATTATATAAAGTATCTTAAAATTTTATCCACGATGAACAGAAATAAGAATTTAAAGCCAATTTTATTTGTTAAACATTTGACATCTGTCAGCTGTCACTTTTCGCTAATTAATTATAAAGCCAACTTTAGCTTGTAACTAAAATGCCCAAAATCCACTGTTGTTAAGTTTAGCCCGAGACTAAAGTGCCAAAAGTCACAATGTGTATTTAAAAGATCACTTCATGGAAAATGTTTGATAATTATAATGGGGTTTTAAAGGAGGGAGTAGAAAAAATAATTCAAGATTTCTTGCATCCAGTCAAACATTTAGGGCTAAAACAGTTTTAAATTAAATAATATTGTTATCTTTATCATCATAAAACTGAATTTTATAAATTAATTACAATTGAATTTTTTGGTAATATTATGATTAATCCCGGCGCATTCGCCATTTTTTGCAAAATATGACAAATTATGTTTTATAGCCATTTTTATCTAATTTTTGTAAAACTCGTGGATAATTAATGGAAAAATATGTTATTTTCGTACTTAAATAAAACACTTAAAATACCTTAAAAAATGTTAAGTACAAAAGTTTAAACATCAAATTTCCATTATAAATTCAAGACAAGTATTCATTATGTATTAAGTAAGACAAATTATGAGTTCTTTCATTTAAATCGTTTACTTGAATTAAAGTTCTTTGAGCAATAACAAAAGTTTTTTTAAATATATTCTTTAGACCTTTAGGTAATCTGCTTTCCTATTTCCAGACATTTAAAGTGATTGTTTGTAGTTTTTATCAGTCTGAAGCGAAATTAATGGATCAGTTGCGGTGAACATATCAATTAGAAAGGCAATTGTTTTTGAATTTATAATGACGACTGATGGTTATGCTTCCATAAATCTTTTAACTCCTACCAATGCTAATTGCCTGTCACGAGACAATGTTTCAAAAAATGTATGCATATTTTATTAATTATGCAAAAATACACCTGTAGGTACATTTGAATGATTTATGAAGGTATTTTATGAAGCATCTGAAAAATCTGAAAATTCATTATTTTAAATTTACTTATATTATACCTAAATTAAGTTATACACTAAAACAAAGGCTTTCTTTATAAACGTATAATATTTAGTAAAAATAATGATCACTGGGTAAGTGATTTTGTTTTTATTACCTATTTGTCCCAACTTTGGGTACAATAAAATATAATCAAAAAAATATTATATTATAGCCCGATTTTATTTTACAAATTTTTTTATGTTTAAGAGAAATAAATCTAATTTTTTAATTTTAATTTTACTACCTAAAATAGTTTCATCTAAATTCCTATTTTTTACAGAAATAAATCAAATTTTACTGTCAAAAAAATACTTGGAATATTGGGAATGTCGTATTTGGATTGCCTAATTCTTATGCACTATGTAGTTATTATTGTTTTACAGGATTTGTAATGTCACATTACCACATTACTAATGTGGGTTGGTTGATTGTAGTTGAATCAAGAATCGCGAACAGCGACTCGAATGTGACATTCCTGTGCAATGTTGCCAGGTCTAATGCTTTTGCAATTAATATCATGTTATCATGTTTTATTTAAAAATTGCATGTTATTCACAAATTATTGCTTTGTCATGAGAAAGTATTTAAAACTATTTCTATCAAAATGAATGTATTTTATTTAGCAAACCATTTTGAATGAGCCACCGCTTTAAAAAATTATAAAACTTATGATAGTTTTATATTATTTTTTCAATATTTATTTCCTAGTTATTTAAAAATTTTAAAATCATAAAAATCTTGTTCAATAAAATTTTATGCAATTTTAAAAATAAATAATTTAACCACCTAAAATTACTTTTCGTAAAAAAAGAAAAAACTATTTTTATAAATTTTGCAACCTAAAAACCCATGTCAACTGATTAATGTAAACCACAATTATGCTACACGTAGAGGTAACGAATTACAATTTGCTTTGCACAGAATGGAGCTGTATAAATCTAATCCTTTTTATATTGGATCTGTATTATATAATAAACTTTCATTATCGATTAGAGACTTACCAACTTCAAATTATTTATGTAAAATTACAAAAATTCTTATTGATAATGCATTTGCAGTGTCATATTTAACTGATTATAAAATATTGTACTTTCTGTATTTAGTTAAGTTTCATTGTATGTTGTATTTTCTTAATGGTTTAGGTAATATAATGTAATTTTTTGTTGTTGACTTGTCCTATATCGTGATCTGATCTACTGGGTGAGTAAAGATATTATTATTATTATTATTATTATTATTATTAAATGTTTTATAATGTTTCATAGCATCCTACATCCTAAAAATTGGTTTTTATTTTTTTTCACAGTTCTTTCTAAAACATTATATTATTATAAAAGTTTTACTTGGACAAGGCTATTTTTATTAAGTTTTACTTTGATTTTTGTAAATAAAATAGGTAAAAAGGAACTAAGCGAGTAATGTTTATTTATTAAAGTAATGTTATACCCAAACTGAGAACACACATACAATTAATCAGTTTTTTTTTAAAAGAATTTATTTTTGTTCTGATGAGACCTTATCTGGATTTTTTATAACAAACTTGCATGTTAACTTTTGTTACCATAATAACTCGTCATTCAACAGCCTATATGTGACATGGGAAAAAGTATTTTGTCACTGCCTCTTGATTTCACTAGGTATGAACCGCGACATCTCGAATAGGAAGTTGTAAGTACTTTTGTATTTTAGGTACCTCAAAAACCCGAAGAAGCTTTCATTGCATTATGCTTTTAAGATCCTTGCGAGAATGCTATATAGGTTGATTACAGGGTCGATGACATCCTTAAGTTGAGATGAAAGGCATCGAGAATTAAATCCAATTTCCAGAAATAAATAGACCAATCTTTACAAGAAGGATTGACCCAGTTATAAAAACAGTTGCCTTAGAGGCAATTTATTTATATGTAAAAGACAGATAATCCATTGTAAAGGCTGATTTAATAGATTTTCTAAGTCGTATAACACCGTCGTATTTCTTGGTATTGTTTACTGTTCCATCATATTCAACTGATACTGTCTCTCAAAGAAATATATTTGAAGTAAATAACTTAAAGACAGTAAAATGTATGCTTTTTACCGTACCCTGACTTGGTACTGCATATTTGATAATATCAAATATGCATATTATGAACAGAGCTTGGTTGTTTGATAACTGATTCTATAATTACTTGTCTGTAATTTTTGGCACTTTCTTTACTGTTTTTGAGCTCTCCAACATTTCGTTTCATATTTTTTCTCTTTTATTGTGTCAATAATTTACTTATAAATGTATTATTACATTTGATTAAATATCATGAAAAACAAACAGATACAATTGCTGCAGCAGCCTTTATACTTAGCGATTTGTCGGATCTCCCTATTATATCCCCACTTATAATGCAAAGAAAAGTTTGCACAGGGTAATGATTAGAAATGCATTATTTCATTTACACTGTAAATGAAATAATGCATTTCTAATCATATAATCATACAATCAGTATAATAAGGCAATACTGTAAATTTTACAGTATTGCCTTATTATACTTTCAGATACATTTACAGTAATGCCACTTTTTACGAAATTTACTCCAAAAAAATTCTTTTACAGTGACACAATCTAGCCACTATTGGTTATAATTAAAAAACTGACCCACCCTAGCGTTTATTTGTATCTTTAAATACAAAATTTATCCCCGAGGTCTTTATATATATGTATAACCCAAACGAATTTATCCATACAAGTTACATCCGTTTTTATTTAAAGTTTTTAGCCCTGAACAAAAGAGGGTCCTCTTATTTTTTTGTCCAAATACCCATAAACCTAACCCCAAATATTGATATTGCCATCCTGATGGAGAAAGTAAGTATTTACATTTACATTTTGTCTTTATATAAAAAACGCCGTTTTGGACTTAATAAAACTCTCCAAAATAGTTTAATTTTGTTAATTAAACGTCAATATTTCAGTAATCGGATCAGTAATTTTTTTTATAAATTTTTGCACAGATAAAAGCATTTTTAAAACACTAAATTTACATAAAAAAAGATTAATCATTATAATTATCATTTTCTTTATTGACGCGAATAAAAAAACATAAAATAACGTTGACATCAAATTTTGCATTAGAGAATTAAAAAAAATATTTTTATCGCCTTTTTATTGGATATATTACTCAAGTGAAGATCCATTAACGTTTTTTATTGGGAATTTGTTCTGGATTATTGGCTTTAATTTCATTTGATGGCTTAATTTAAACCTACAGCCTACAAAGTACATATTTAATTTAATTAAAGCTAATTTTTATAAACCTTTATTAAATAAATAATAATTTAAATATGAATATCTCGTTTTCGAAAAAAAAAAATTACTAGGTATAGTCATTTTTAAGCATGAATCGTTTGGAGCTCATAAAAAAACCTACTTTTTATGTTTTTTAACTAAAACAATAAATTGCTACAATTTATGTTATTGGAGGTCAATGATTTATTACTAAAAATTTAAAGAAAAGGTGGCCCTTAAGTACCCAAAAAAGCGTTTTAGGACTTTTTTCCACGAAAATTTTGTTTTAAGGCGGTTCGGGCAGTACATTGCAGGGTAAGGGGAGTTGCGTTTATAATAATGCATAGGTACTAACTTGCAAAAACAAAATTTATTTTATCATTTTATTAGATTTAACATAAGACACGATATACATAACAACATTTATTTTAATACAAGAAAGTGAATTAAAAAACGCAAAAAAATATGTTTTAATCTAGCGAGTTGTTAATGGTTGGTTTCTATAGTAGCAGTAATATTTAAAATAAAATAATAAAATAATGCAACAGAAAATATGCAGTATATTGAATGTAGCAATTTAATAATTTTTTACTCGGAAACCAGACAGCCAATCTTTCTTAAACTTTGTAAATGTTTTTAGACTCCACTGCAACCTAAAAATTTTTCAACATTTTCTCATAGCGACTATATCTTCTCCAAACCTCCTTTAACTGAAGGTACAAAATTCATGTAAACTTGTTATCCTACGATAAACCGTTTTGTAGTAATAACACGACAGGTTTTTGGTAAAAACTGAAACAGTTTTTGGATTCCATGTTTAACAAAACGGTAAAAACAAAAAATGTAACGGGCATTTCGTTCTAGAGCATCGACTTAAGACATAAATTGTAGGGGGGAGCAATCCCTAAATTTAAAGAATGGCAATAGAATTTTTAAAATAAGCATAACTTTTTATTAGGAATGACTTTTGGTCAAAAAATAAAAATTTTAGTTCATTTGGGCTTTTTATCCGTGGACATACTGTAAACTTCATAATATACGCTAAAAAAAAGTATCGTTAGTGGCGCCACCATGTGGCCGTCATCATCGTAACAAAACTACATACTTTAATAAGCAGCTGTGCCAATTAAATATTAAACACTAAAAAAGTGATGTAATATCTCAAATAACTGTTAATATTAATTCCCATTAATAAAAGACGACTCAATCACGCTATGATAGGTAATAGCACACCACACGTTAACCTTTTAAAAAAAAATTTTGAGCAGATATAGTAAAATGTGGATTTCGATTGGTTTAATATGGACAATGTTAGTATGAAACTACACCATTGGTAGTAAATGCGGATTTAAAATATCCTTGATATAAAAAATATAAACGTTTGAGTTCATCACCTTCTTTGCCTAAAGGGTAGTTCAAACGAAATAATTTTGTCGCCTACTTGTATGCCTTTTAATTTTAAATACAATTTTGTGTAAAAATGTGAAAAGGAAATTGATTTAACTAGAATTTTCACTTAAACATATTTGCTTAAATTTGTAAATAAATGGATAACCGTAACCTGCTCATTACAAATGCGCCATGTTCTATTTAGACCACAAACATTCCCAATTACCTATAGAGATGTTGTAGACACTCGTGTCTAAAACCTTTGAATAAGAAGGGATCGGCTGAGATTTACATTAGTTTCAGTTTATTGCATTAAGGCGCATTTCGTTGCGACTAAATTTTCGTAATTCACTCATCGAAAGGCTGGATATTCAGTCTGGCCTCGGCTATCTCTAATATTTTACATCCCTTCACATGTATGTCAGATTCAATGATAACAGTCCAGACGGACTTGCCTTAATTAGCAAACCAAATTCTCCAGCCGACAAAAATATGTTTAAATGTTTGGAACTTCAACAATTTAATTAAATATTTTATATTATTTTTAGAAATGCCTTAAACACAGTTAAACAAGTTTAAATTAATATTGAAAACGTCGGCTTATAAAGTGCAAAAAATCCTTAAGTGCTTAGTTCATTCATTTTCACTCATGCTTAGGCAGGCCTCTAAAACCCATAAACCCCTTTTTTGTGCATAGTCAATTGATTTTGCACAGCAAAAACTCATCTGAATTTAAATGTACAAATTTTGGGAAATGTAACATAATACCGACGCGACGTGACGATGGACGAGTATATAAATATATAAAATATAAAACACAAAAAAACACATTATCGTATGTTTCCACAAAAGAAATAATAGAAATGATTGATAGAACAATATACACCCGTAAGCACTTAAGACAAGTGTTAACTAGAAACAGGAATAAGAAAAATAAAATAAGAAATGCGATAATGAGCTAAAAGAAAACATTTGGGGAAAAGCATGCCAAATGGTAACCAAAAAACTAAACCTAACCTAACATCTAGACCAGGGGTTCTTAACCTTTTTGCTTGGCGACCCACAATTCAAAAATATTAGAAGCTCGCGACCCGATAAAAAATAAAATCATCAATTGTCTACATTTTCTTTATTTAAAGTAAAATAAAAAAAATTTTTAGGAATCAACTAACACAAATCCCGCAACCCATCTCGATATGGCCCGCGACCCAAATTTGGGTCGCTACCCGAGGTTAAGAAACGATGAAATTTAAAGCACGAACAAATCAAATGAAACCAAGCCAGGAAGAAATCCCACTTTTTCAAACTGAAGAACTCTTAGAAGCACTAACAAACAGGTTAAAACAGGCCCCCGGTCCGAATGGAATTAGGCCCGAGGCGCTGATAGCATGTTTTAAGAAAAATCTAAAGGTTTTCCTCGACCCTCAACAAATGTCTCTTAGAAGTAAACTTTCCAAGCTTATAGAAAATCTCAAAGTTGGTAGTTATAGAAAAACCAAAAAAAAAAAACAAACAGCACAAACAACATACAGACTTATCTGTTTAATTAATACAAAAATTAATAAGAAACTGACTAAAAGAAAAGTAAAATACATAAAACCTAATACATGAGAACCAGTATGAATTCAGAAAAGGTAAATACTACTAATCAAGTCAAAAAACAGGTGGACAAAATAAATCTCAAAGACATTGAAAATGCGTAGGGGCTAGAAATAATAAATGACTTGAAAGAAAAAGAAATAAGCATATACCTTGTTAACGTGTTAAGATCATATTGAGCGCAAAACACTAGCATCAAATGGAATTACAGTAGCGAAATCCATCAGGGCTCGATAGTTGGTCCAATCTTTAATTCAATTTTAATGTTTATTACGACATAATCCTGCAGGTGAAGTTGGTAAGAAGTTCAAAGAAGAAGCCAGAAGAAAATTAGTTGATGGCTGACAGAAAAAATTAAAAGGATACGAAGAATGGGCCAAACCAAAAAATTATACCACTTAAGTAATGTCCGAAATACGTTTCTTAAAAAAAATAAAAAGAAAGGACAACAGCTGCTGGCTTGTAGAGAACAAAGTCCGCAAAGCACACTATATTTAAATGCGAAAGGTTTAAGGAATACAAAAGGATTACCAACGAAGAATGCGTTGTAATGGGCATGCTGCGAAAAGTATTAAAATAAAAAATAAAATAATGAAATGAAATAAAAGGAAAAGCCCAAAAAACTGATAAACAAACGTGCACGTTTGCATGCAATACCCCCCGACGCACATAGGAGTATTTAAAAAAAACGGGTAAAAGTCATATTTAGAAAGTTAGTTAGAAATCCCGTCAAACGCATTATTCTTCAATGACTGCCATATAAATTTCCCCCTCCCTTTCTTCTTGTCATATTCTTAGGCGGAACCCAGCTAATATTTGAATCGCATATCTTTGTTCTCAGCGCTTTCGTTCATTGAATTTGTTGCTATTGTGTGTTTCTGTGATTAAGTTTAGGAACAAAACTTTTGACCATGGAAGAGGAAGATATGTACTTTAATTTTATTAATTTGCTGCTTACATTTTGGGTATTCATGTTAACTAAAAAATATAACATAATGACGTTTTTGTTTACTTGTCGGGCCTTGTAGGGTTAATTTTTTTTTATAAATATTTTATGTTTATTATTATTAGTTATTTAGTTTAGGCCCTAAACCACAACAATATTGTTGTGGTTTAGGGTTTAGGCTATTGACAATTATATGCTGAAGTAAAACTGTCCGCCTACTTCCGACATTTTTTTAATTTTACTTCAAAGTTATTAATCAAAAAATTTAAATATTTCAACTTAGTATTTTTTTCTTATTTGTCGTTATATTCTTTAGAAACTATCAAGATATTTAATAAAAAAGCATTGTATAATAGCCTGCAGGAATTTGAAGAAAAAAACTGGATGAAATGTTTTTGTTAATGGAAGAAGAGCTTAAAGGTTTTTAAAGGGTATGTTATGCTAGGCCAAAAATCAATATCAAAATTTTTCTTAAATATTCTTAAAGTATCTATATTTTTTTAAGAATATTTTCTCAAAATTTTATCAAGATCGAAGCAGTAGAACTTAAGGTAAGGCAATTTATAGCGCGCTACCTCTCCTTCGTTAGCAAGCCTCGTTATTTTTTTAGCTTAACAACAATATGGTATTTTTGTTTTCAAATTAATTTATTATATAATGTAAAAAAGTAAATAGATTAAATTCTATGGAAATTACCTTGTATGTAATTTCGGTTTATTATAACCTATAGGTATAAAAAAAGTATATATATTCTTGACTTCACTAACACGTGATTCTTCAGAACTTGTCAACACATTTAGCAGAAAAGCATTGCATGATATCCTCATTGAATTTAAAGGAAAAAAACTGGATGACAAGTTTTCGTTAATGGAAGAAAAGCTTGTGAAAATTACTAAATGCCCAGATAATAAGAAAAGTGTTATAAGTCGCGAAAGCTACGAAGATACAGAGGAAGAAAAAACTGACGAAGAGAAAGAAGAAGCTGGCGAAGAGGAAGATGAAGATGACGAAGAGGAAATGAACAGTTCGTCTGATTAAGGATAATTTAAGTTATGTTTATATATATTTTTTAAATATACTCCGAATTACGATCAAATTTTATTTTACTACAAAACTATAATACAAGAAATAAAAAATATCAAACAAAGTTATGCAATCTAAACATTTAAAGAATTAACAAACATTTTACGGACATAAGGCAACTTGATTACCAAAATGTTAGATCTAAAAAACCCAAAAAAAAATCATTAAATTATATAAAAAATTGTCAGCTTTCTGTAATTGTTAGTTTTGCCAAACAAAGGGGTCATTAATCAGGTGTTGTTTAGTTTTAAACAGCCATTTAATTATGCGGTAGACCAAAACAGACATTGGGATATGAAGCACGTCACATACATATAATTTACAGAAGCTCGACAAAGAAAATTTAAACATATGTCCCAATAAATACTTAACGCTAAAGCGGCTCTGTTCTCTACGTAGACGATTTATGATGTTCTCGTTTCAGGTCTGGTTATTGTCTAAAAATATTTACCGAAAAATCCAAAAAATGAACAATAAATTTTACGCGCAACTTGCCAACAAATGCTCGAACTATCTGTTTAAGGGTATTATACTAGACGTAAGTTTAGGTAATTCAAGTAGCTTTGTTTCGAGAGTAATAATGGCTACTTATCTCGAGAGGAAAGAAATAAATATCTTTATTCCTTTGTTGCAAGTAATACAGTGCATTAATTATTTTAAAGGTGCTTTTCACTAAAATGCTTTTTAGTGATTTTAAGTTTAATACTGTGATTTATACGTTTAGGTAAATTACTAATTTTTTAACGTTTTAACTGTTTTAATGTTGTTGCTATTTTTGTTAAATTTTTTGATTTGGTGGAGGCCTTCAACTAGTGGAGGCCCAGGACACAGAGGTCTGAGAGGCAATTTTACGCGGCAAATCCAATTTTTAAAACACTTTAAAAACGCATTTTGATGCCTCTTTATTGTTAGTGATAGATTATTACCTAAGATTTTAAACTTCGAAGTAGAATTTACTGCGCTGCCGTGCTTAATGAAAACGCCGTAACCAACAATTTTGAGATTTTTGTTTTACGGCATTTTCTACTAGAAAAATTCATCCTGCGTCTATCCCCGGTACTCAAAAATATATATGAAATATAGATACGGTTTGAGTACAGTGGATAGACGCAGGATGAATTGTTTTAGTAGAAAATGCCGTAAAACAAAAATCTCAAAATTGTTGGTTACGGCGTTTTCATTAAGCACGGCAGTGCGTATGCGTTGCGTTATAACAAATACATGAAAAGATTGTCAAAAATACTCTTACTTTCGGAATCTTGTCTTTTTCGTGTAAAAAAGGTGTTGCTTAAATATAATAGTGAAAATTAGTGTCAAAAATTTATAGTAGGGATAAAGTTGAGTACAAATACAACTTTAAAATGTCTTTTTTGGATTTTTTGCCAAAAATATAGCCTTTTTTAACCTACAAATTCTCAAGTTTTGTATAATTATAATTACAAATAATAAATGGAATATAAGTAAAAATTTATAATTACTTGCCCAGAACCACATAGTGCATTCGAAAATATGAACCTCCAGCTCCGACTTTATAAAAATTCATCTGCCTTTATGCGCCTATCAGAGAGTTATGCAAAAATGAAAAATGGCCTACAAATTACCGCTAACCTGGTCATAAAAGTATTTTTTTTTAAATTTGACAATAATTATTGCATTTAAGAATGGTAATACAATTTTCTTTACTCCTATTACATAATATTATTTTTTTAATATACTTTGTATATTATACAGTGTGCCAACGGATGGTAATGACAATAGAAAAAAAATATTAGGTATGATACAAAAAAACATGTTTTTTAAAAACTCTTGCTTGTTTCAAAAATAAGATTTCTACACAAACATTTTGAATTAAATGTACAGGGTGCTCAGAAACTAAAAAAACCCAAAAAACTAGAAGTGCGTTTTAGGGAAAAATGAATTCTTTTTAAAAATATTTTATGGTTAAAAATTAAAACTTTCATAAAAAGATAAATTATATATACAGTTGTGCTCAGAAATTAAAAAAAGATTATATATCATAATAAAAGAGAAATGTGGTAAGATATTCGTAACGGAATCGCAAAAAATCATTCTTCATAAAAACTTCTGCTTGCATTTAAAAATGAGATTCCAGGGTGCTCAGAAAATAAAAAAACAGCAAAGTGCTTTAAGAGGGTAGTACAATAATTATTGTTCTATAGGAATCTCATTTTTAAAACAAGCAAGAGTATTTAACGCATAATAAATATAATAAGTTTTCCTATTGTCAACCATCACGATATTGGCTAAAGGGTTGTTAAAAAGAAATATGTTGAAATGTAAAATGTTGATATAATAATATATTTTTGATACTTTGAAGGTAATGGTTTTTCGGTTATTCATTATATAAAATTATGCTTGCGCCATGTTGCAATCGCCGCCTGGTACGAACTATAAACATTTATTTATTTAATAAATAAATTATTAAATATAAAACATAAAAAAAAACAAAAAATACACGAATATTAAAAAAATTCATTTTATATCATTTGGCTAGACTTAGCCCCCTCAATACCAAATATTTTTGAAAAAAATTTATATAAGAAGTAAATTTAGCACCCTTAAAAACATAAAAACACACGTCTTGGGAAAAATATTTAAAGAATAATTTTTGCCGCGTAAATTTACCTCTCAGACCACTGTGCAGGGGCCATAATCTAGGACGCCCCATGGTAAATCCGGCCCTGCTTATTTTTGACTTCCCACTTAATGCCAAATATTCGCCTGGGACCTAACTCAAGCCAAAATAATTACCAAGCGGCTAACCATGTTTTTCTGCCGTAAATGTAAAGTGAGGAAAACATATTTACCAGATCCATTTATTTTTAATTATATTAGTGAACTCAAATGTAATTACAAAGAGTTATGAGAAACGTTTAAATTTATATTTTCCAACAAAATTAATTTCTTAAATTAAAAATTTTTGCATTTGTTACATTAACTTTTTTCATTGACCATTTTTAGTAGTAGACATAAAAAAACAAAAGAAAAAAGTGTCACTGATAGCGTACATTTAATAGTTACGTTTTTTTGGGTCATTTAACCATAGATCTTAGGTATATGCATTTAATTCATATAATACTTTGTTGTTGGCCGCAAACAATTAAAGAAATTAGTTACTTTTAACTCTCAGAAATAGTCAAAGATGGTGATTAATTTTAAATTAGTCAAAATATAACTACGTAGTAAAAAATAACTATTTAAAAGTAAAAAATGCTGGTACTAACTCAAATAGTAGAATTTTGACTATTTCATTTTTAGAGACTTGATTAATAAAAGAAGTTCCATTAATTTTAAATTCTATTTATTAAAAACACTATGTATAAACTTAAGTGTTAAATTAATGAAAACATACTACCTATATGAGGTTCAAACAAATTTTAACCAAATTTAAAATATAACGTGGAATCTAAAAAGCATCCTACATTTTGCATATTCTTTATATAATTTGTCCCAAACATTATTATTATACATTTTAAACAATGTTTATTTACTTATATTTTAAACAGTTTTATTTAGCCATCCTTGGATTAAGTAAAAAAGGGCCATAATAACTTTGCTGTGCACGGTGGTGTACGCTGTATTATTTAAATTATAATTAAAAAAGTAACTGCCGCATGGAATTTTTCTCGACATATTTAGGTTCCTATAGTTTTGTTGTGAAGCAACTTTTTTTATAGTTTTAAATGTCCACTCTCTTAAAATGAAATAGTCAAAATTCTACTATTTAAATTAGTACCAGAATTGTTTAATAATAAAATAGTCGTTTTCACTTTTAAATTAGTTATTTTTTATTTTTTTACTTAAATAACTAATAACTATACTCTATAGCAATTTTTATCCAGAACATTAAATAGCCAATATTTATATAAAATTGTCCCCTAAATCCGAAAAGACCGTTTAAAATTATAAAATTGGCAAATTAGCAAAAGTAGCACTTTTTGAGATATAACAATTTTACATAGAAATTATTAACGGCTGCTTTTTCGCTATAACAATTAGTCATTTTTAACTCATTTAATTTTAGAGAGTATGCTCCATCGTTAAATGGCACTATAAAAACAAACAATGATGCAAATAGTTTAGCTCAAAACAGCAACACAAAAAATATATTAAACTTTAAAATATATATTATTAACAATATTTATAGACAGATATAAATTAGTAGTGGCGCCTCGTTTATACACCCACTTGACAAACGATAAACCCCGACTGGATCATCCTTTTTTAAATTTAAATCTACTAATTTGACTATTATGACAATTAGTCAAATATAAATTATAATTATCATTTATAAATAATTCATTTTAAGAGAACAGAAAGTTGGCTGAGCACGCGAGCTGGCTGATCAACAAATAATAATCACCAAACAGTTTATAAACTATATACAGGGTGTTCCAAAATCACCCGGACAAACAAAAATCTTTCTTTTAATCAATATTAAAAAAGTAAGTCGCCATTTTAACAAGCAAATCAAAGTGTGCTTTTGACCTGAGCTACCGCTGAGACTGGAAGTTAAAGCCCACTAATAATCTATATACCTATACCTATTATATACCTATACCTATTATACCTATTATTATATAATATATAATATATTATATAATAGACAACATCTGAACTTTAACTGTTTTAAGTAATAGGCAGTCTGTATAATATATAACATATATTTATAAATATTTATTTCTAGATGTTAAGTCCGGTTTTCGTCCCGTTCCCAGACCAAAAACACCAAATTTTATTAAAATACGTTAAATACGTAAAAAATGGCGAATGTGCCGGGATTAATTGTAACCATATGTCCCAATATATCCCCTTCTGAATGAAATTTAAAAAAAACTCCTAAAGGTTATTCACAGTGTTACCAGATTCTGTCAAAAAAAGACCGTACGTTTCGTTCGAATTTACCTTAATTACAAAAATGACTCAATGGACAA